AAATTGAAGTTGCTCGTCAGTAGAGTCTCATTTTGTCTTTTAAATCAATTTTTAAGTTTGCTCGTCAGTAGAGTTCCTTTTTTTTATATTCCAGATTTAAATTATAGTTTGCTCATCAGTAGAGTCCCTTCTTATTTTCTAGTCTAGATCGATATGTAATTTTAAAGTTCTTTTTACTAAACTCAAAGTTTCAAATGTCAGTAGAGTCCTTCTCATGATATTTACACTTTGCTAGACAGTACAGTTCTATTTAGAAGCTGGAAATAACTTAAAGGGCATTATTATTTAATTTGCCTTGCAGAAGATTCATTCGTCATATATTATTTTTTTTTGTATTTTATTGCATAGTGTGAAGCACGCTTTAGCTTAAAGCCGCACTCACACTTGACATTTTGTATATGTGACTCGTGTATAACTTCATATGAAGACGGTAGAGTGTTGGAAGCTTTAGCGACGTAAAGCTTGTTTCACACTTGACCTTTTACATTTTCTTGAAATTATTTTAGAATCACATTAATAATATCTCGCATATTAATTACAATACGTTACTGTATATAATTTTTACTATTTATTTTTTACAATTTTAGTTAAAGTCTCTGGGTAAACTCTGCGGCCTGATGCCAGGCTGCAGTCCTACTTCCACGCAACTTCACGCCGTCGTCAATCTGTCAGCAGGAATGGGCGATTGTCCTGGTACGAAGCAGCAGCCGTCGCCGACTGATAAGCTGAAGGAGGCTTTGAGCTCGAATGATGCCTTTCAGAGACATTATTTGGTAAAGTTTGAACAATATTTTTACTAAATATATTTGAAATTTGAATTTTGAATTTTGAATTTTAACGGTTAATTCAAACGCGCGAACTTCACACTCAAAGTATTTTGTTCAACGCTTACGTGCAGTAACTCGGTTTGTTATTCAATTATAAAGTTTTAACAATATTTTTTACCATACATAATTTTGTTCTAAGAGTTTCAAAGTGTTATATACAGATTTGTAGATACTTTTATTAGCTTTTTAACGATATATAGCAATATACATTTATGCAAACAAATTATTAACAAAATCCTTCAAATCTCAATAGTACGGGAGGTAGCAACTTGCTTGTTTTGAAAACGTTGCTGCCTCCTATACTACAACAATTGTATACCTAAAATGCACTTTTCAACCTTTTTTATGCATTATATTATTATTTCGGAATTTTGTTCAAAATACATCAAGTTTATTATATGATATTTAGTAGACACGTTTAAGTAAAGCATACTCAAATTATTATATTCTGGAATAAACGATATGTCTTGAAGAGCTCATCAAACGTGATTTAGAAAAGATGTTAGATTTATTCTTAGAAAAGTTCAGAAGAAAATACAGTGATTTATTATTATATTATTTTGTTTGAAAAGTTAACAGATTTGTAGATAGTTTTATTAGTTTTGCAATGATGTATAATAATATATACGTGTTTAAACAAATTTATAACAAAATTTAACGAAACGTAAACAAATGTAACCCGCAGACATAGATTTACATGTACACGATTTGTATTCGATTTGTATAGTTTAAATAATTTTACAACAAAATTTTCAACGTTTACGTGCAGTAATTTTGTTTCAACTCGGCTTGTTATTCAATTATAAAGTTTAAACAATTTTTTTAATATTATTTTGTCCCAAACGTTTTAAAGTGTTATATACAGATTTGTAGATGATTTTATCAGCTTTCTAATGATATATAATAATATATATATATATATATATATGTTGGAACAAATCATTTCAGGAATTTATCAAAATATGAAAAAGTGTCACCAGCAGACATATTGGTTTACCAAAATGACGTCATACGACTCAGTATTCAATTCTAAAGTTTAAAGATACTTTTAAATTCAATTTTGTTCCAAACGTTTTAAAGTGTTATATACAGATTTGTAGATAATTTTATTACCTTTCCAATGATTAAGTATTCGAGCAAACTTTAGTAATATAAACCTAAATATAAGAAAATACAGTCACTTTTGTGCTATATTTTCTATTATTAAATCTCAATTCTATGTTTGCTCGTCAGTAGAGTCTCTTTTTATCTGGTTTGCTCGTTAGTATAGTTTTTTTATTTGTTTTCAAAATTTATTGGCAAGCAAATAATGCTACTGTATTTTTTGCAAACTCAGAACATAAAAATCTTTTTAAGATTTAATTTTTTACTCAGTAAAGTTAATTTTCTTTTAATTTTAGTTTGCTTGTCAAAAGAGTCTCTTTTTGTCTTTTATTTTCACTTTGCTTGTTTGTAGAGTTTTTTCTCTTTTAATATTATCATTAGAGTTTCAATATTATCACTTCTAGTTTGCTCGTCAGTAGAGTCCTTTTTTCTCGTATTTTGAGTTTGCCCGTCAGTAGAGTTATTTTTCCTTCTTATTATCCCTTTTTCTTTTATTTTCAGTTTGCTCGTCAATAGAGTCCCATTTTTTCAATGTTAGTTTGGCATTTAATTTGCTCGTCAGTAGAGTCCATTTTTGTCTTTTAATTTGCTCGTCAGTAGAATTTCCTTTTTAGAATCTAGATCCAAAAGAAGTTTGCTCGTCAGTAGAGTCCCTTTTTCTATTTTAGTTTGGCATTTAATTTGACCGTCAGTAGAGTCCAATTTTTGTCGTTTATTTTGCAATTTAATTTGCTCGTCCGTAGAGTCTATTTTTTGCCTTCAAGATCAAAAATAAACGTGCTCGCCAGTCGTGTTCTTTTTTGTACTCAAGATCACCAAAATAAGTTTGCTCGTCACTCAGTCCCTTTTTAATCTTCTGAATTTTCGTGAGTAGAGTCCTCTTTTCATTTCCTAGATTGAAAATAAGTTTGCTTATCAGTAGACTTCTTCTTTATTTCTTTAGGTCGTCAATAAGTTCTTTTTTATCTTTTTTTGCAATTTAATTAGTTTGTCAGTAGAAATCCTTGTTATCCTTCTAATTATGTAAGAAAATCCGCTTTCTAATTTGTTGCTCGTCAATAGAGTCCCTTTTTCTTTTATTTCTAATTTTGTTACCAGTATGGTTTTTTTGTGTTTTATTTTTAGTTTGCTTGTCACTAGAGTCCTTTTTCTAGTTTTTTAAACAGTTTAAAAAAATATATTTTCTGTTTGCTCATCAGTAGAGTTCCTTTTCATTTAATTATAATTTGTTTATCATTAGAATCGTTTTTGCTTTTATTTCTTATTTGCTCGTTAGTAGAGTCCTTTTTTTGTTTTTTATTAATAATAAGTTTGCTCATCAGTAGAGTTTCTTTTCTTTTAATTTTTAATTTAGTTCGTCAGTAAAGCCTCTTGTCCTTTTTATTTTTAGTTTGCTCGTCTAAATATTTATTACCTTAATTTTTTACCATTTAAATACACTCTTACTAAACACTTTCACAAATTTCAAATTCAAATCCTAACCGCCATTATTCCCACCCAACTTCACACCTAAAGCACAATGTTCATCCCTTCCGTGCAGTAATTTTGACTCCATTACCTCTTTTCTAGGAATTAGCAGAACTAGCAATGGGTACTTACAAGCACATAGGGCGCATTAGAAGCGCTCGGCTGATCGGTTTAGATATCGCCAGATTTTCATCGGATATCGGACAGATGAATAAGGCCATTGTATTTTTAAATGATGCCCTAAGGGCTTTTAGTGATGAAGGATGGAGGACTTTGGTGGTGCAGACACAACTCGAACTTGCTGCTTGTTATAAGAAGATGAACGACTTGGAAAGGTAATGATAAAAGATATATGTGTATGTATATACGAGGTCTGTTCAAAAAGTACCCGGAATTTTCGTTTTTTCAAAAAATATTTATTTATTCGTCTACATTAATGTGGTCCCTTCAAAGTAGTCCCCCCAGATATAATACACTTATGCCAGCGTTTTTTTCAATTTTCGAAGCACCCTTGATATTCACTTTTGATTGATATGTCCTTGAGCACTCTCAGCGATTCGGCCTTTATTTCTTCAATCGAGGAAAACCGCCGTCCTTTCATGGGTCTCTTCAACTTTGGGAATAGGAAAAAGTCACACGGAGCCATATCTGGTGAATTTTTGCACTTTGCAACACTTTATTTCATTTTTTACGCAAAATTTAATACAAATTCTTTGACTTTTCAATTCTTCCATTGTAAAAATCGCCGAGCTCAGAAAAACACGTCGGAACCTTAGCGACTACCACAGACAAAGTAAACAGTGAATATAGCTGAAATTTCATCATACTTTAGGGGCATGTATACCAACACAATAAAAAAAAAATTTTGACAATCAGACACTCCAGACCCGCGAAATTTAATTATTAGTAATTCCGGGTACTTTTTGAACAGACCTCGTATATATATATATATATATATATATATATATATATATGCAACTTTTCTTAAGGCACAATACCACTGACGCCTAGTTAGTGTTGCCAGAGATAATTCTTTAATTTGTTCGGACAGAATTCGGTCCTTTGTTTCTTTTGCACTATATTTTTATTCGGACTCTACTGATGATTGAGATAATGTGACACTTACACCTAGTTTTAATTAGTTCACGCGTCAGTAGTGTTTAACTTTTATTTTTATTTTAAATTTTTTATCAGTTTTTTGTGACGATATTCAGTTTGCTAGTTAGTAAAGTTCTTTTTGTGATGGAGAAATGGTTGTAATTGAATGATTTTAATTTGCTCGTCAGTAGAGTCCCTTTTTTAGTTTCTTGATCAAAAAGAAGTTTTGTCGTCAGTAGAGTCCCTTTTTTGGATTTTTGGTCAAAATGGAGTTTGCTCGTCAGTAGAAGCCCTTTTTTAAGATTTTAGTTCGTCAGTAGAGTCCTTTTTTCTATTTTAATTTGACATTTGATTTGCTTGTCAGTAGAGTCCCTTTTATAGATTCTAGGTCAAAAAAGAGTTTGCTCGTCAGTACAGTCCTTTTTTTCTATCTTAGTTTGGAATTTAATGTGCCTGAATTTGATCAGTAGAGTCCCTTTCTTAAATTCTGGGTCAAAAGGGAGCTTAATTGTTAGTTGATTTCTTTTTTTCAATTTGGTCTTAGTAGAGTCTCTTTTCGTAGATTCTAAAACAAAAAAGAGTTTGCTCGTTAGTAGAGTTCATTTTTCTTTTTTAATTTGCTCGTCAGTAAAGTGTTCTTTTTTAATCTAGATCAAAAAGGAGTTTGTTCGTCAGTAGAGTTCCATAGTGCTATATAAATTAACCGTCAGTAGAGTCACTTTTTTGTCTTTTAAATTGCTCGTCAGTAGAATCCCTATTTTACATTTTATATTGCTATATAATTTGACCGTCAGTAGAGTCAATTTTTTGTTGTTTTGTTTAAAATTTAATTTGCTCGTCAGTAGAGTCCTTTTTATACTCAAAATTACAAAAATAAGTTTCCTTGTCACTCATTAGATTCCCTTTTTAATCTTCTAATATTTGTCAGTAGAGTGTTCTTTTTATTTTCAAAGTTAAAAAGTTTTGCTTCAAATATAGGCTTGTGGGGTATCAAATGATAGGTCTCGACAAGTACTATACAAATACAATAGAAATAAATTCAATAAACTAATAGGGTTTTTTATTTAATTCTCAAAATCTAAGTTTATAAATACAGTAGACCATATTATAGATCATTTGATTTAGCACAATTTTGCCTAATTTTTCATTCAATTCAGACACACCGTTCAAAAGTTACAAGAATTATAATAAAACGCCGACCAATGGGTTGCCGAACTCGGTTTAAGATATAAGTCAGAAAGTTTTACTTCAAATATAGGCATGTGGGGTATCAAATGAAAGGTATCGACGAGCACTGTCTAAATATCATATGGATAAATTCAACAAACCATAATTTGCAAAATCATTTATTGCCCTAGTGTTATAAATATATTAGACTATATTATAGCTATAGATCATTGAATTTAATACAATTTTGCCGAATATTTCATTCAATTCGGACAAACTGTTCAAAAGTTACAAGAGATGTAACGAAAGTGGACCAATGGGTTGCCGAATTTCGTTCAAGACATAACTTAACAAGTTTTACTCCAAACATAGGCATGTGGGGTATCAAATGAAACGTCTCGACGAGCTCTATCCAATAACACATATTTCCTTTACCCCCAGGTACATCCGAGTATCAGCCGCCATATCGAGCTCTCAAGAACTGGAAATTCTAGTCCGTCATTTCTACTTCGAAGAGATGACAAAATCCCTAAAACAACTACTAGCGAAAAAATCAACTTCTCTCAGCGATCAACCCCAATCGAACATCCTGTCCGACCTCTCGGATGTCTTTACAATAAAATCTTTAAAATTAATGCTGCCTGATACCTGTACTGTGATGCAGGACGAGACCGTAGAGACTGAATTGAGACTGTATAGTAGATTTCCGAAGGAGATCTATGCGGATTCGGTGGCTGTTTCTTTGGAGTTTAAAAAAGGGTTGGATAACAAAAGTTGTAAGAAGAGGGATGAAAAGCCGAAGTCGACGGAGGAGAAAAGTAGTCGGGTTAATGGGGATGCGGAGGATGAGGAGGGATGTGATAGTAAAGTTTTAAGGAATATGTAAGTAGTTATACTATACATAGTCAGTAGAGTTCTTTTCTTTTTTAGTGAATTTTATACACCAGATTTTTTATTTTTGTGATTCATCCTTGTTTATTTATTCTATAATAATTTTGTAGATTATTTTGCTTATCAGTAGAGTCTTTTTTGTCTTAGCATTTTCTTCCATTAATATGCTCATCAGTAGGCTCAGAAAATTCCGAATTTTTGCTTGTTAGTAGAGTTACTTTTTCTTTAGAGTTTTTTTTCACTAACTTTTGTTTTAATTTGCTCGCGAGTTAATATTGTTTAATATTTTATTTTGCTCATTAGTCGATTTTTTTTCTTTATTATTATTATATTTTGCTCGTCAGTATAGTCCTTTTTTCTTAAAAATCAAATTTGGTCGTCAGTAGAGTCCTTTTGCCTATAAATATGTTCGTCAGTAGAGTCACTCTTTATCTTAACATTTATATTTGCTCGTCAGTAGAGTCCTTTTTGACTTGATATTCAAATTTGCTCGTTAGTAGAGTTTCTTTTTTGTCAGTAAAATTCTAATTATATTTTTTTGTTTTTTCTAATTTTTTTAGTCATTTTTTTTGTTTGTCAGTAAAGTTCTTCTTTCTAAATATTCGGCATTAACTTGTTTGCTCGTCATAGTCTCTTATGTTGACTTTTTTTCTCTTTTTTTTGAATTTAGCTCGTCAGTAGAGTTTCCTTTTATAATATTGTATTTTGTTTGTCAGTAGAGTTTTTTTCTTCTTATAATTGAATTTTTCATCATGGGTGAAGTCTTTTTTACTTAATATTTATTTTGTTAGAATTTTTCCCAAGTCCAAATCCGAATTGCTCGTTTCATTTTAAGTGGAGTCCCTTTTTAATATTTTCAAGTTTATATTGCTTGTTAGTAGAGTTTGTTTTATTTTATATATTTAATATTTCTCTAATATATTGTAAAATTTAATTTGGTCATCAGTAGAGTCCTTTTTTTCAAAGTTTTACTTATAATTTGCCCAGTTTAATTTGCCCGTCAGTACAGTCCTTTTTTTGAATTTTTTAGATCAAATTTATGTTTGCTCGTCAGTAGAGTCTTTTTTGTCCTAAAATTTAAATTTGGTGGTCAGTAGGTTCCTTTTTGTTCTAAGATTTAATTTTGTCAGTTTTTTTTATAAAAATTTAATTTTGTTCGTCAGTAGAGTTCTTTTTTTATTTTTCAGTTTTATTTTTAAGTTCGTCAGTAGAATCCCTTTTTCATCTCAATTCAATTTTTCTTCTTTTTCTCAAAATTAATTTCATTTTGCTTGTCAGTAGAATCCGTATTAGCTCGTTAGTAGAGTCCCTTTTGTCTGAACATGGTTTAATTGGTCGTCAGTTGAGTTTTTTCTTTTTAAAAATTAAATTTACTCGTTAGAAGAGTTCCTTGTGCCTTAACTTCTAAATTTGGTCATCAGTACAGTCTTTTTTGTTTTAAACTTTAAATATGCTCGTCAGTAAAGTTATTTTCTCCTTTAAAATTAATTTTGGTCGTCAGTAGAACAGTAGAGTTTCTTTTTTCTATCATGATTTTTCACAATTTGTCTCTAAATTTCCTTGTTAGTAGAGTCACCTTTTTATCATACTAATATTTTCCCGAGTTAATTTGCTCGTCAGTAGAGTCCCTTTTTCATTTTCTAGATCAAAATTAAGTTGCTCGTCAGTATAGTCTTTTTTTAATCCACTATTTTCCATTTATATTTCTCTATTTCGTTCAGTTTTAATCTGCTCGTCAGTACAGTTTCATTCTCTGATATATTGTAAAATTTAATTTGCTCGTCAGTATAGTCTTTTTTTTCTAAAATCATAATGTTCTATATTTTTTTTAAATTTGCTCGTTAGTAGAGTTCTTTGTTTCTCGAAATATTTAAGTAACATATGTTCCTATATTTATCTATGATCTAAATTTAATTCGCTCGTCAGTAGAGTCCCTTTTCTTGAATTCAAGTTTGATTCGCTCGTCAGTAGAGTCCTTTTTCTATTTTTAGATCAAAATTAAGGTTTGCTCGTCAGTAGTGTCTCTTTTTATTTTCTTCATCAGAATTGAGTTTACTCGTCAGTAGATTCCTTTTAGTCCTAACAATAAGATTTAATTTTGGTCGTCAGTTTTTTTTCATGAAAATTTAATTTTGATCGTCAGTAGAGTTTTTATTCCTTCGATGATTTTTTATAAGATTTCTCTAAAGTTGGTCGTCAGTAGAGTCCTTTTTTCCTCGAACTGTTTTACTAATATTTGCTCGCCTGTACAGTCTTTTTTTTGACATTTAAATTTGATCGTCAGTAGAGTTAATTTCTTAAAAATTAAAGTTTTGTTGTCAGTAGAGTTTTTTTTGCCTTGACCTGTAAATATGCTCGTCAGTAGAGTCCCTTTTTTCAAATCTAAGTCCAATTTGTTCGTCAGTATATTCCCATTTTACTTTTTTAGATCAAAATTAATGTTTGCTCGTCAGTAGAGTCTTGTTATTTTCAAAAATGAAATTTGCTCGTCAGTAGAGTCCTTTTGTCTTAACATGTTCAATTTGGTCGTCAGTAGAGTCCTTTTCCTCAATTTCTATTTTAATTTGGACGTCAGTAGAGTACTTTCATTCCTAAAAATAAAATTTGGTCGTAAGTAGAGTCCCTTTATTATATTGTAGATAAAAACACAATTAAGTTTGCCTGTCAGTAGAGTCCTTTTTATAATCTCGCAAAATCAAAATTGTGTTTACTTTTGTGTATAGTTCCTTTTTTGTTTCCCAAAAGAGTAAAATTAATCGGCTCGTCAGTAGTCTCTTTTTTATTTTCTAGATCAAAATTAGGATCGCTCGTCAGTAGAGTCTTTCTTATCTTAATATTTTTAAGTAATATCATTCTATAGCTCTATTTTAATTTGCTCGTCAGTAGAGTCCTTAGCCATATCTGTCTTAATATCTTATATTTTTCTATAGTCTAAATTGAATTTGTCAGTAGGGACCCTTTCTTAATATAAAAAATTATGTATCTATCTAAATTTCACAAACTCATCTTTCATCTCTTTCTTCCTTGCAACTTCCTCACATCTTTCACACCATCTCTTTCTCTCATACAACCCCTTCTAATCTTCCATCTCTTTCAGCATAACCGCAGACGACCTCAAACAAGAAAACATCCTGGTCGCCCGCATCAGCATCGCATCACAGCTCGATTACAGGCAGGACGGCGTCTTGGGCTCCGTCAGCGCCTCGTGTCAAAACACGCGAACTTTAAGACGTTCTAGTAGCACCAAAAACAGAAAATCGTCTGATACTACCCATCGGCAGGATTTCACCATCAGTCTTACGAATAATGGTGGTGATAAAGGACATTTGGTGGTTATACCAGGGCTGAATATTATAAAGTTGGCTATTAAGGCGACGAGGGTTGGGGTTTTTAGACTGGGCCAAGTGTCGGTGGTCGTTGGAGGTGGACTGGAGTTTTTGTCGCAGGTGCTGAAGCCTGGTTTGGAGTTTGAGGTTGTTACGGAACCGGCCAAGGCGGTGTTGGATAAGGTTGATTATTGTCTGTTGGCAGGTGGGTGGATGTTTTTACAGATTTTTAATTTGGTGGTTAGTAGAGTCCCTTTTTTAGAGATTTTAATTTTGTTTGTCAGTAGAGTCCCTTTTTCATCTTTTAGTTTGAAATTTAATTTGCTCGTTAGTAGAGTCCCTTTTTATTTAATTTTTATTTTGCGTGTCAGTAGAATTCTTTTTCTATATTCAAAATAAAATTTTAATTTATTATGCTCGTCAGTAGAGTCCCTTTCTTTATCATTTGCTATTTAATTTGTTTGTCAGTAGAGCCCTTTTTTATCTTTTAGATCGGAATTAGGGTTGCTCGTCAGTAGAGTCCTTTTTTATTTTACTAGATAAAATTTTAAGTTAGCTCTAAATCAAATTTAAGCTTAAGCTTAAGCTCTCTTTGTATTCGACATTTTTATTTGATTATCAGTAGAGTCCCTTTTACTTCAATTTACATTTTTTTTATTTAGGGATGCCTCTAGTTGTCAGTAGAGTCCTTTTTTATTTTTTTTAGTTAAAATTCAAGTTTGCTCGTCAGTAGAGTCCTTTTTTATTCGACTTTTCTTATTGTCAGTAGAGTCCCTTCTTTTCTATTAACATTTTTTATTCGAGTTCATTTCTGGTCTTTTCTCAGTAGAGTTCCTTTTCTTCTATGATTTTTGATTTGCCTGTCGTAGTAGAGTTCTTTTTTGTCTACGGGATAAAATTTTAAGTTTGCTCGTCAGTGGAGTCCCTTTTTTTCCTTCTAGATAAAATTTTAAGTTTACTCGTCAGTAGAGTCCCTTTTTATTTTCTAGATCAAAATTAAGTTTGCTCGTCTGTAGAGTCCCTTTGTCATTTTCTAGATACAATTTTAAGTTTGCTCGTCAGTAGAGTCCTTTTTCTTATTCTAAATCAAAATTAAATTTGCAGTTTAATAAAAGAATGTACCATTGAATGTACCATGAATGTAGAGTCCTTTTTCTTTGTGAAAATTCAATATAACTTTGTTTACTAGCCATTAGAGTCTGTTTTTTTGTCAGTAGAGTCCCTTTTACTTAGGATTCTTTTTTCGGTATAAACTTTATAATGTTGATTTTCTAATCAGTAGAGTCCCTTTTATCTCAAGATTTTTCACGAACAGTTTTATTCTCGCTCGTCAGTAGAGCCCTATTTTTTACGGTTATAGTTTTAGTGACCCATTTATATCTTTTAGTTTGCTTGCTCGTCGAGTCCCTTTTTCTCATGATATTTTATTTTATCTAAAAATCTATTTGCTCGCCAGTAGAGTTTTTTCTGTCTAGGCTTTGTCTTTGTTTAATAATATTATATTTTATCACATTTTTAATTTATTCGTCAGTAGACTCCTTTTTTCTTTACACTTTACTCGTTACTTTTCAAAGAGTAACATAATTTAGTCGTTAGTGGAGTCCAATTTCTCGTCAGTAGAATTCCTTGCTCATCTTATTGACTTTTGCTCGTCGGTAGAGTTTTTTTTATCTTCGTATTATTATGTTTGTCAGTAGAGTCTCTTATGTCTTGTAAGTAGAGTCTCTTTTTGTGTTTTAAATTGATATTAAAGTAGTCAAAATTAAGTTCGCTCGTCAGTAAGTTTCTTCTTTATCTTTTTAATCAAAATTGAATTTGCTAGTCTGTAAAGTAGGTGTCTTTTTTTTTCTTTTAAATCACAAATTAGTTGACTCGTCAGTATGGTCCATTATCTTTAATAATTTTAGTTTTATTCGTCAGTAGAGTCCCTTTTTGATACTCTCGATCAAAACTACTTTGCTCGTCAGTAGAGTCCCTTTTGTCCTAGACTCCTTTTTCCATTAATATTCTTTACTTTATCTGCTCGTCAGTAGAGTTCCTTTTTTTATAATTTCAATTTTACTCGTCGGTAGAGTCCTTTATGTGTTAATTAATATTTTTTCTATTTATCATCTCTTAGGGTTTCCGCAAAGGATGGTCCTTACAGTAAACAGCGGCAGTTTCAGAATCGCCGAAAACAGCTTCATCACCATGAAAATGTCCAAAGGGCTGCTTATGAAATGCGAAAACTCTGAGGACGAATTTTCAAGAGAATTCAAAATTCCCTTAGAAATCAGCGAGCCCTTTCAGAGCACCAAAGTCGATTTACTGGTTTTGGCGGAGCTGCCGCCGAGGAAAGACGATCGATCTGTAGAACATAAGGTAAGAGTGAGTTAAAAAGTTTTGCTTCAAATATAGGCATGTTGGGTATCAAAAAGTTTTACTTCAAATATAGGCATGTTGGGTATCAAATGAAAGGTCTCGACGAACACTATCTAAAAATCATGCTTATAGTGTCTACAAAGTAATAGGGTTCTGTACTAAACATTTATTGAATTCACAACATCGACTTTTACAGTTTTAAAATTCATCAAGTTTCTGTACAGTTAATATATACTAAACTATATTATACTTAATTTTATTTAGCACAATTTTGCCGAATATTCCACTTAATTCGGACTAACGGTTCAAAAGTTACAAGAGATGTAACGATAGTAGACCAATGGGTTGCCGAATTTCGTTTAAGATTTAACTTAATAAGTTTTGCTTCAAATATAGGCATGTTGGGTATCAAATGAAAGGTCTCGACAAACACTATCTAAAAATCATACTTATAGTGTCTACAAAGTAATAGGGTTCTGTACAAAACATTTCTGTACAAAACATTTATTAAAATATTAAGTTTTGCTATTTTAAAGTACACCAAGTTGCTGTAGAGTATTACTGTACAAAACAATAGCATAGATCTTTTAATTTAGCACAATTTTTGCTGAATATTCATTCAATCGGATTAAAACCGTTCAACAGTTACAAGAGATATAATTAAAAAACGACCAAGGTTGCAGAACCCGAAGACCGATGTAGTTTAGAAGTTTTGCTTCAAATTAGGCATGTTGGGTATCAAATGAAAGGTCTCGACGAGCACTATCTAACTATCAATAGTTAATACTGATAAAGTAAGATAAATCAAATCGTCGGTAGAGTTCTTTCTAAAGTAACAGTTCTCTATTATTTTTCTCAAATCCAATATTGCTCGTCAGAGAGTCCCTTTTCTGTTATTAGTTTTTAATGTTTAATTTGCTAGTCAGTAGAGTCCCTTTTATTCCAAACGAGATTCAGTTTGCTCGTCAGTAGAGTTCTATTTTTGTTTTAATTTTGTTTGGTTTGTCGTCAATTGAGTCCCTTTTACGATTTTTTTCTTCAATACATTTGCTCGTTAGTAGATTTTTTTTCTGACTCTTGTTTTTTTACTTCAAATATCTTCAATAAAAAAATGCTAAGAAAAGAACTGATGATGAAACTAAAATAAAATGAAAATGAACTCTACTGACGAGCAAATTAAAGCAAATTAAAAGACAAGTTATGCTCATTGAATTATTCCGGAATAAAAAAGAACTCTAACGAGTAAACAAAAATTCGTTATTCATCAAAAACAAAAAGGACTCTACTGATGAGCAAATTAATTTTTGATTTGAAAAAAAGAAAAGGACACAAAACTAACGAGCAATTAATAAATCAACTAACATTAAAAAAGGACTATACTGACGAGCAAATTGATTATCAAACTTTAGAATTTAAAAAGAGACTCTACCGATGAGCAAATTATAGATCAACTAAAAAAAAAGACTCTACTAAACAAGCAAATGATAAATCAACTCAGAAGTTTTAAAAGAGACTCTACTGACGAGCAAATTGTAAATCGACATAGACATTAGAAAAAGGACTCTACTGACGAGCAAACTGAATATCAACTTAGAAATTATAAAAAGGGCTCTACTGACGAGCAAACTGAATATCGAACTGGATATAGACATACCATACACCAACTTGCTATACTTTAAAATAATAAAAACTGATATCAATAAGTAGATAAATTATGTGTATTGAACCCTTTTGGTTTGTTGAGTCTGTTACTATGATATTTGTATAGTGCTCGTCGAGACCTTTCATTTGATACCCGACATGCCTATATTTGAAGTAAAACTTCTTAACTCACAATTGACCCGCTGTACTATTTATAGTACGACCACTCGTCAGTGTGCATTTATTTATTTAAACTCGTGTAACTTCTAAACCACTGCACCAAAATAAATGAAATATTCGACAAATTTGTTCCAAATTAAATTATCTAAAATTGTACTTTGTATCAATTTTTAAATCAACTCGCTATACTTTAAAATTATATATGTAAGTGTACAGAACCCTATTGCTTTATTTTGGACGTTACTGGTATATTTCGATAGTGCTCATCGAGGCCTTTCATTTGATACCCAACATGCCTATATTTGAAGTAAAACTTCTTAACTCATACTTGACCCGCTGTACTATTTACAGTAGAACAAAACGTCCGTGTGCATTTATATATTAAAACGTTTGTAACTTTTGAATAAATTGTTTGTCGCAAATAAAACATCTAACAAAAATGTTCTAAATTAATATCAATCCTTAAATCAACTCGGTATACTTTAAAATTGCAATAGAAACCTTCAAATTAGTTTAGAATATTGGATATATGGAATGATACGGAACCTTGTTAGTCAAATTTCAACACTGATATATTTGAATAAAGCTCATCGAGACCTTTTATTTGATACCCCACATGCCTATATTTGAAGTAAAACTTTTTAACTCATCTTTGACCCCAAATTCGGCAACCCATTGGTTTACTTTTCATTATATCTCTCGTAACTTTTGAACCGTTTGTCCGATTTGGATGAAATATTCGACAAAGTTGTGTTAAATGAAGCGATCTATGATGTGCTTTAATATAGTCACACCATGCACCAACTTGGCATACTTCAAAATAATAAAAACTGATTTTATTAAGTAGATAAATTAAGTGTATTGAACCCTATTCGTCTGGTGTGTCTGCTAATTTGATATTTGTTTAGTGCTCGTCGAGACCTTTCATTTGATACCCCACATGCCTATATTTGAAGCAAAACTTTTTAACTCATACTTAACCTCGAATTCGGCAACCCATTGGTCCACTCTCGTTACACCTCTTGTAACTTTTGAACCGTACGTCCGATTTGAATGAAACATTCGACAAATTTGTACAAAATTAAACAATCTACAACATTGTCTTTTACCATTTCTCTACTCTACTCTACTAACGAAACATTTCTAGGTTTCGATGTTATGTCCTTGGTCCAGGAAAGAAACAACAGTGCCCCTCCACTTCCCGCCGCCCTTCCTGAGCGTCTGCAGGCTGCACACGTCGCAGGCCAGAAAATTCGTCCAGGTGTCGGTTCGGGGTCTTCACGATCAGAAAGTGGCCCTTAAGAGGCCACAACTGGAGTGCAAAGTAGATGGACTGCTTTTGAGGGATTTGAATCCGGGGGCTGATCAGATACTGGTGAGGAAATATTTATTAACTTCCCGTAGGGCAAGTTATGGTAATCGCAAAAAATCGAAAATGAAAATTTTTACATAGCTTTACGTTTCAAACCTTCTGAACATTTTGGCATACCATAGAAAAATGGATGCATGTGTGTGTGTGTGCCCCACTAGTTTGATTATAATTAAAAGACTTTTCGTAGTGTTGACGAAACTTTTTTTGTAATTGACTGTTGATTGTAAAGAAACTGCTAAACCGAGCTTTGTGCAAAACTTGTCAACCGTAGTCCTTATCGAGCCTTATTGAACGCCCTTTAAATTTTTAAAATTAGTACAGCCGTTTTGCAGAAATCGTGATTAACTGTTTGTCACATATATATGATTGCTATAAAGAGACGGTTCGGACGATCTTTGTGTAAAACTTGTCAACACTAGTTCTTATGTTATCGAACGTCTTTTAAATTTTCAAAATCGGTACAGCCGTTTTGAAGTAATCGTGATCAATAGTTTGTCACCCACCTACTTTATCCAATTCTGTGCCAAGCGATCCAGAAAAAACCTAAAAATCACAAAATTAAGCCCTATTTTCTTCATCCAAACATTTTGCTGAATTATTGTCAAAAAGCAGTAGAGTTCTTTTCATTAGTGAGACTTTTGTAACATAGCAATTCACTAAACAACTATTCGCTTGTCAGTAGAGTCTCTTTTACTTTATTAACATTTTCTGCTTTCTGGTTCCAGTTTTGCTCGGCAGTAAAATTCTTTTTCTATAAAAATGTGTCTTATATTTTTTTAAGTATTGTTTGCTCGTCAGTAGAGTCCCTTTTCACGAAAACTATTTTCATTTGCTCGTCAGTAGAGTCCCTTTTCACAATAATATTTTTATCTGCTCGTCAGTAGAGTCCCTTCTGTCACAATTCTTTTGGATCAACTTTGCTCGTCAGTAGAGTTCTTTTTTCCTTTTATTTTTAGTTTGTTCGCCAGTAGAGTCCCTTTTCAAACATTTTTATTTTCTCATCAGTAGAGTCCCTTTTGCAATAACAATTTTATTTGATTGTCAGTAGAGTCCTTTATTTCAATAATAAGATCTTAATTTGCTCGTCAATAGAGTCCTTTTTCATCTTCTAGATCAAAATTAAATTTGCTCGTCAGTAGAGTCCTTTTTTTGTTTTGACCATTATTTTAGAATATCTAAAAGGGACTCTACCGACAATAATATTTTTCTTGTAAAAAAGGACTCTACTGACGACCAAATAAAATTGTTTTAAAAAGGAACTCTACCAATGAGCAAATTAAAATTCAATTTATTATTATATATATAATAGATAATATAAGAACTCTACTGACGAGCAAATTAAAATCTTAGCCTCATTGCTAATATAATTACCTGTCTTTTTTTAGCTCATCAGTACAGTCCTTTTTTAAATTTTGTTCTTCCTTTTAATATATTTTGCTCGTCTTTTTTATTTTCCATAAAATATTTTATAATTTTGGATTAAAAATTTTGTGAAAACTATTGAAAAATGTGAAAATGCCGCCAAGCTAAGCACAGTATAAGTGATGAATGTCGCACAGAATTATTTGCAAATTTAGTTTAGACTGTGACAGAGCACTTTTTCATTTTTGTGTAATTTGCTCAAATATAACAAGATAGCAATAATATGAATGAAAGTTACAGAGTATTTGTAATAATATATTTGAAAACGTTTAAAATTCTCGAACATATTTCATTGCGGTACGGTAAGTTCCAGCAATTTGCCTTAAGGCACGATTCCGTACACCACTAGTCAAGTTTAAGTTGCTTGTCAGTAGAGTTCGTTTTGACACGATTTTTATTATAAATTTTGCTCCTCTGTAGAGTATTTTCCTCATTCATTTTTAGTTTGCTCGTCAGTAGAGTCCTTTCTGACACGATTTTTTTGTATAATTTTGCACGTCAGCAAAGTTTTTATCCTTTTGTTTTTAGTTTGCTCGTCAGTAGAGTCCCTTTTGACTCGACTTTATTAATGAATTTTGTTCGTCAGTAGAGTTCATGTTTCTTTCAATTTTAGTTTGCTTGTCAGTAGAGTTCCTTTTGGCACGATTTTTTTTTCATAAATTTTGCTCGTCAGTAGAGTTCTTTTTCCAACATTTTTTTTGATTTGCTCATCAGTAGAGTCCCTTTTGTCTCGATTTTTTTTTTTAAATTTTTCGGTCAGTTTAGTTCTTTTTTCTTTTCTGTTTCTATTTCTAATTTGCTTGTCAGTAGAGTCCTTTTGTCACGTTTCTTTTTTTATAAATTTTGCTTGTCAATAGAGTTCTTTTTCTTTCTATTTTTAGTTTGCTCGTCCCTTTTTCATGATTTTTTTTCATTAATTTTGCTCGCCAGTAGAGTCCCTTTTGTCACGATTTTTTTTGTAAATTTTGCTTGTCAGTATAGTTGCTTTTTCTGTTATTACAGTTTGCTCATCAGTAGAGTCCTTTTTTCACGATTTTTTTGTATAAATTTTGCTCGTCAGTAGAGTTTTTTTGTTTTCAACTTTCAATTTTCTCGTCAGTAGAGTCTCATTTGTTATGATTTTTTGTATCAATTGTGCTCGTCAGTAGAGTTCTTTTTTCTTTCGTTTTTAGTTTGCTCGTCAGTAGAGTCCCTTTTCACACGACTTTTTGAATCAATTTTGCTCGTCAGTAGAGTTCTTTTTAATTTATTAAGTTATTAAGAACCCGTTTTCAAATGTTAGTCTCGCTTATTTATCTTATACAAATACGACGATAATAAAGAAACGGCTGGACTGATCTTTGCGCAAAACTTGTCAATACTAGTTTTTATGCAATTTAACTTGACTTTTAAATTTTGGGAATCGGAACAGCCGTTTTGCGCAAATCGTGGTCACCCATCCAAATTCGGTGCCAAACGATTCAGAATGACTCCACAAAATTAACTCTTGTTCTTTACCCAGACGATAACCAACGGAATAACAGCCTCCTTCATGTGGGAACTGGAAATCGAACCACTCCAAAAGCACCAGGCCAACATATAAAAATGGACTTTAGCATCCTGTACGCACCAGTAGAATCCTTTTACCATCACCATCAAACCCTTCCCTTAATACTCACGACCCCAACACCTCACCCTTCACCCAAACCACTGTCCCTTCGACCTTAAGGACTACACAACCCTCTATATGGTCAAATGCAAAGTGGAACCAAGTGTTGGGAGCGAATTCTGTCGAACCAGGAGCATGTGCCATCTGCAACTGTCGGTTGCAAGGTTGCCAGGTTGCGAAAAGGATGCGACGGCGTCTGTATGTATGAAGTTTTGGGGATCAGACTATGTGGGCGGTTTGTGGAAGGACAGCAGGTGAGGATAGGTAGATTAAGTGGTATTTTGATTGAGTGTTTTGTAGTAGTAGAGTTCTTTTTTGATTCAAAATTTGGCAAAAAAGTACAGCGGGTCAAATGTGAGTTAAGAAGTTTTACTTCAATATAGGCTTGTTGGGTGTCAAATAAAAGGTCTCGACGAGCACTATACAAATATCATACTTACAAACTCAATAAACCTACAGGGTTCCGTACACATAATTTATGCACTCTTAAATATCAATTTTTGCAATTTGAAAGATTTCTAAGTTTTTTATATTTTATTTTCTAAATCAAAATTCTGTTTGCTTGTCAGTAGAGTCCTTTTTTATCTTAATGTTCAGAATTAACTTTGTTAGTCAGTAGAGTCCCTTTTTTATCTTTGAGATTAATTCTATTTGCCTGTCAGTAGAGTCCTTCTTTATACTAATAATCTAATTGAAGTTTGCTCGTCAGTACAGTCTTTTTCTATTTAAATTGATCAATTATATTTACAAAATGTTTTAATTTGCTTGGCAAGTACAGTTGTTTTACTATTTATTGCTCGTCAGTAGAGTCATTTTTTACAATGACAATGTTAGTTGCTCGTATCAGCATTTTTTATTAATATTCTTTTCTATAATTGCTCGTCAGTAGAGTCCTTTTTCCAAAATATTAAGCTTTCCTATTTAGTAGCGTCCTTTCAAAAACTACTGAATAAAATTTT